GATAGATAGATAGATAGATGATAGATAGATAGATAGATAGATAGATGATAGATAGATAGATAGATAATTTGGAATCACTTGCAATTTTTGGATTAAGCTCCCATTTGGCCTTTGTGTCTTTTTAAAATACACTATTGGGTATTAACTGTTGATTATGTAAGTTTTTAGTGATATTCACAAGTGAATCTGAAGTTTTCTTTATTGGTGTGGTCTTGGTCGGACTTGGGGGTCACCTTTGGGCTTGTTGATAATGGTGAATGACACCAGAATATTAGAGGTCAGTCCTTGAGTTCAGCTGAGAAAAGAATTCAGAGCCAAGGAATCATTTACTAGTGAAAGTTTATTAGAAAGTCAGAGGTAGAAGAAGTGAGCCAGCCAGCTGTATCACATGGACTCAGGAAACATATTACAGAGGCACAAGAAGGGCCCTAGGAGCTTAGGAGAAAGAAAACACACCTGAGGGAAGGAGGCAGGGGGGAGGTGCAGCTTGCTCCAGAGCAAGAGAGAGAGAGAAAGAGAAAGAGTGCACTAGGTTCTTTGTCTTAAGGTGTTGTATCTATTTTCTAAAGGCAGGAATTTTCAGCAGAGTATTTCAATAGAATATTCATCAGCTTTCCAGGTGTGTCCTTTCAAGGCCATGGTCTCTACTGATTGGCCAGCACTAGGATAGAGGGTCGTTGGTCATTGCATCTGGTCATGATGTCAGCCATGGCATTGCTCTGTCTGATTTTTCTGCTTCTCTAGGTCTAGAGCTAAATCACAACTGAGCCTTAGATATTTTCTCTAGTTTGACCAAAACTCTGTCTCTGTTATCTGGGGTCAGAGGCTCTACTGCCAAGATTATGTGATGTGGGTCAGACTTCATTGTCTTGAGGGTTTAATGCTTAAAGGAAGTAGTCATGAACTGTCATTAAAGTGGTCATCAAAGGCTTCTATGGTAGTCATATGAGGCTCTTCTCTAGCCCCTTTGTTTCTCCTTTAAGGGGTCTACCACGTGACTAGTGACATGCCAGGAAAGGAAAGCTCAGGGGAGGGTCTGAATCACAGGACCAGCTGATATACTAGAGGATAAAAGGTCACCCTGTGTGCAAGTTCCCGCCTTACAATTATCCACTGCTGGGCCCTGGGTGACCTTCCGTATCTAGCCTCTTGTTCCTATTTTGCCATGTCTCTCTAGCTGCATACTACATCACTTACTCTGTGTAGCAATTTGAAAGATTTGTTTTTTCCCTATGCTTTGGAGAGATATAAGTGGCGTTATAATACTCTACACTTTAATAGATACCATATGATTGTAATGTCTTGTTGTAGAGGAGACCTTTAAATAGTTTTTATTTATTTAATAGAAATTGGTCTTTTAATATTTTTCTACTTGTATTGAGGTTAATTTTGGTAAACTTTAAAGCCATGAATTACCTGAGGTGAAGAACCATGTATTTTTTATTTAGTTTCTGAGAGCCCTAGGCTAAAGTTACTGAGAAGTTTGTAGGGTGTCAATAAATTTGTATTCACTTCCTGTTGTGCAGTGAGTGAGGCCTGCAGTACAGGAGGAGCAATGTAGCTTACAGGTAGTGGGCTTGTACTTCCTGGAAGTGTGGGTGGACTCAACATATGTATAACCTTCACTTCCTTCTAAAGCTTCATATAAACAGCAGTAAATGATATAAATTTCCTTAAATGGCTCAGTCTGCAGCTGATCGGAGAAGCACCTTGAGTCTTAACCACAACCAATCCTTCAACTTTAGTGATGGGGTGATCATAAGAGATCTAAACACGTACATGGCTGGGAGCTAGGGAAGCTGGAGGGAGAGATGGCCCATCTGGAGCAGCAGCTGGCTTGGCGTGGCCAACTCACATTAACAACTGAGGCCTGCCGTTAAGTGACAACATGTGTAACTATATAGCACCTCGTGCCCTGCACTGAATGAATGTGTGCACGGTGTCACTTCCACCTTCCACATCTCATGTCAAAGACCCTCTAAATTATAGAACCTAACACACCAGGAGAAAGCACTGAAGACACTACATGGGGTTTCCCAAGACGTGGTCCAGCCAGGTAATACTACAGTGCAGTCCTCGGAGGACAAACTACCCATATTTGCTTACAGCAATCAGTAATTGAGAGACCACAGTTAGTATGAGAGGACTACCTATCGAAGAGGACCTGACATTGCAGAAGAGAATCTAACATGAAAGACACACACACACACACACACACACACACACACACACACACACACACATACAGTTGAGGGGAAACAGTATGTTTAAAGAGATGAAAGTGTCAAAGAAATTATGTTATAATAAATATTTTCACAAATATTAGAGAAATATTGAATCAATGAATCAGGAATTGCATATTATTAAAAAAGGAATATTCAGGGGGAATAATATTCCTCTATTATAAGAATAAACACTCTATGGAATTTAAAAATGTCACAACTGAAATAGCAAAAAACTGAAAATAATCCAAATGAACTGAGAATTACTAGCAAAAGCCAACATCTCTGCACAGAAGGGCTGTTGGGTCTACTAGTTTTTCATAACAAACCTTGTGATTCATCTTCTAAACACCACAAGGCTTGTTATCATTAAAAAAGTCAAGTAAAAAACCTTACCAAAAAGAGGCAACATTTCATGAAACAATGCAATAGTAATAATAATAGTTATAATCATATTTATCAAGCATTTCCTAAGTGCCAAGCACTGTGGTAGGTGCTGTCTGTGGATTATCTCTTTGAATCCTCACTACAATTGTACACAGATACGTTTATACCTATATCCCATGAGAAAACTAGTGCTTTGAGAGTTTGTTAGCTATCTAGTGCTGCAAAATGTTGCAACAGACACCACAACTTCATAGTTTCTCTGGGTCCTTGAGCAACTTAAACTGAGTGGTTCTGCCTGGGCCTCTCACCGGGCTGCAGTTAAGGTGTCAGCGAGAGTTGCAACCATTGCAGTGTTTGGCTGTGGAGCTCTGCATCAAGGCCCACTCCCATGGCATGTCTCATGAGGGTCCACGCTCACTCATGCGGGCCTTTCCTCAAGGCTGCCTCTGGCATAGCTTGGCTTCCCAGAGTGAGTGATCCAGGATTACCCAAGGTGGGAGCCACTGTCTTTCTATAATCAAGTCTTGGAAATGACATTTATCCTTTTTGTCATATTGTCTTAGAGATGCATCCATACGTCCAGCCCACACTCAAGGGAGGGCATGAATTCATGAGCTAGATATGAATACCAAGAGGTGAGGATAGAATGAGTTAGCTTAGCGGTTGCCTACCACAGGTGAACTGGCTTATCCAACCTCCAGTAGGTGTAAGTGGTAGCCCTGTGATGCAACACCATCCAATTTAACTCCAGGGTTCAAGCTTTTTTTTAAAAAAAAAAAACGTTTTTTATTGATTTCAGAGAGAGGAAGGGAGAGGGAGAGATAGAAACATTGAGGAAAGGGAAATATCAATCAGCTGCCTCCTACTGGGGATGGAGCCCACAAGCCAGGCATGTGCCCTGATCAGGAACCCAGCCAGTGACTTCCTGGTCCATGGGCTAAAGCTCAACCAACTGAGCCACACACCCATCGGGCCCACGGCTCCTGTTCTTAATCTCTATGTAAGCCCTCAAATATGCTTGAGTGAGACAGCAACAACCCTTTCACATGGTTGTTATGTTGGGAGTGTGGGAGTGGCTGGGGAGAGACACCACACCTAGAGGTGACTTCCACACGCATGACACATACCCATAATGAATGCCACAGCAGTTATTAGGTTTGGGAAAAGAGAAATCAGCTCTATATTATGGTCAGTATGTAGAGTGGAACTATAACTCTCTCATTTATTTCCTAGTTCAGAAAGTGTATATGGCTGCAAGAGAGAAGTCCATGAGTGCAAAGATAACCTTGAAGTCACTCTAATTTATAAAAGCTCAAATCCTCTCAAGATTTAGAACTTTATCGGTAATGAATTATTTGAGGCACCCCTCATCCTTGATCATGACAAACTGCAGCTTCATTTTCCTGGGACGGGACATTCGTCACAGGGACACGTTGGCAAAGGTGAAGATTTGGTGCTCTATCTTTAAAGCTTTTGGGAGCCACTGTCTTTTAAGCATGGGATGATGACACAATTGGATGTGTACCTGCTGCTCAAAGTTATACCATTTTGTCGAAAGCATCAGGGAGCATCCTGTATTCTCATGCATAAGACGGCAGATGCCTCCTTTATACCCTGCCAGATTCACTCATGTTGGTGTAATGAGATTTCTATGTTTCTCACATCTGCGGATGGGTCAAGGTAGTCTATATCAGGGCTTCTATGTCTGCCTCTCTCTGAACACAGACAGACCTTCATGGCAGCAACCAGGCTGTGAGCTTCATAAGGCCCAGACTGGTTGCCTTCTTCATGTTCTGTCGTCTAGTGGCAACCACACTGTTGACATATGTTAAGGACTTGATAAATGCTTGTTAAGTTAAAATAAACTTGATCAGTCACCGTGTTGAGCTCTGGACATACATTAATAAGTTAGTGCCATTTTACTTTATTAGGAAAAAGTCATGACTGTATGTGACTATTCGGTTTTACATTCATTGATCAAACTCCTGCTGTGAAGATGGCACTCTGCCAGATGCTGGAATGTGTGCCAACAGCACACGGCCACCACTCTCACATGCTGTCACTGGTAGTCCTAGCTCAACACACCATGCAGGCATCCAGGAGGGACATACCCATCAGCACACAGAAGATCATAGCCAAAGGAAGGGGAGACTCTTGAAGGGTGTGACTTCCGAGCTGGTGAAAAGAGTGACTGTTAAGGTGAATGGAGGGTGGGAGGGACTCCCTCAAGTATTGGGATGCTGGTTTGTTAAGACTTGAGGGGAAGTCGCGGTTATAGGCGAAGAAAGGAAGCTAAGATTGACAGTCAGTAGAAGTATAAGTAACTGATGCATCTAAGGAATATGCAGAGTCATGCAACGTTTCCTCCCCACTGCCTTTGTGTCTCCCCAGCCCTCTACGAGCGATCCTGCGAGGTGTACAGGCACCAAGGGAACACGGCTGGCTTCTTCCACATTGACCCGGATGGCAGCGGGCCGCTGGGAGCTCTCCAAGTGTACTGCAATGTCACAGGTGAGGGTGCAGACTTCTCACTCAGCTCTGTCCAGCTGTGTGATGGCGCACGGCCAAGGGAAGTCCACGGCAAGGGACATGCTTGCAAATAAAAGACCACGTTCTGGGGGAAATGGCATTTTAGTAAATAATAGATTTAGCAGCTAGGTTATTTTCATGAGAGAAGAAAACTCATTAACAGGCTTCGTGTTCCACCAAAACCAAGAGCTAATTACCAAGAATTTTCTATAGAACTTGTCACGGATGTTTTCTCGCTTAGAACTCAAAACCAGAAAGCACATGAAAACATCCAAACAACAAAAAACAAAACTCAAAGTGAATAGGAAGCTTGACTCATGTCTGGCCCTGAGGACTGTGAATCGGCGTTCTCTTGGAGCTTCTGGTGCGGTGCACCAGTGCGGTGGGAATAGCGCTTTCTACCGCTCAGAGCTGTGAGGATTAGGCACATTCCCGTGTATCCTGTACCGGAGCAAGCAGTCAGACTAGTTACCCTGTGGATGCCTCAGGGAAAAGGAAAGTGAACTATTTGCTTTTTTCTGGAGATTTTATTTATGCTGCCACTTTGTTCTAAGTGCCTAGTCAGAGTCAGTTATTTCATAGGCTTAGAGACGGCATCTGATCACTACTGTATTTTGAAAAATAATTCCACAAAGCCACAATTTGATGTAATAGTTTCTGAAAAACATCGCATGGTGAGTGCACTCTCCATTGTGAGCCATAATGGGCACATCCAGGGGTTGGGGTTCCATCCTGACTTGGAGGGGCCACAGAGTCATGCAGTGAAATGGGATGCAGAGAGCTGCTGAGACACACCGAGTCTTGGTGAATCTCAGCAGCTCCAGCTCCTCAGCAGCAAGGCGGCCCCTCCGTGGAGCTCGGTCTGTAGCAGGCTCTGTCCTGGGCTCTAGGGAGGCACGGAGAAATAAGACATAGTCACTGTCCTTCACGAGGCAGTAAAATTGGTGATACTAACGTGCAAAAATCACAGGTAGACATGCAAGCAAACCTTTGCAAAAATGGTGATTAAGGACACTTAGCAATCCACCCATCTGAATACAAAGGGCCGCATCTTTTTCTATAGAAAATGCTAGTTTCATGGAATTGATTGCCATTTCATTGAATTTCCATAATTCTTTATCTGCAAAATGCATATATGCTAGCTGCTTCTCCCCAGCTTTATAAATAAATTAGGAATCATGATGCTGTTTCCTTTTCAAGGTTTTGGTAAACTACAATGCTCAACAGCCTGGTCAAGTACTAGGTAGGGTTTTCTGTGGATCCCAGTTATTTCAAAACTAGGGGCCCAGTGCATGAATTTGTGCACCTTGAAAGGAACTGTGGGCTGTGAGGCTGTGGTAGGCACAGGGATGAGTCTCAGGCAATCCTCCTCACCCCCACCCAAACCCTCCCGCCGTGGCTCCTATCTGCCAGCAGCCCCACTCCCACCACTGCCGCTCCCACATGCTGACAGTGCTGGCCCTGATCGCACCCGCTGATGGAGCAGAGTGATTGGGGCCAGTGCCATCAGTGGGTGCGAGCAGTGACTGATGCCCTAATCGCCCCTCAGGAGCAGGGGGAGGTGGAGAAGCCCTCAGGGGCAATCAGAGCTAGCAGCCACTGCTTGCACCCGCTTATGGTGCAGAGTGATCGGGACCAGCTGCGGGCACTGGCCGCAGGTGTGGCGGCGGCTCTGGCACCAGCAGTGGGTGCAAGCGGGGCTGGTGCCAGCAGCAGGTGCAAGTGCCAGGCGGGACTGCAGTGTGCAGGAGCAAAGAATTTTCAGTAACCACCAGAGGCTTGCCCCGTTGACAGCAACCAGTGCCCCATCTTGGTCTGGTGCCCCAGCTCACCTGCTCCACCATCCCACCACAGCCAATGCCTGCCATGTTCTGTACACACCCCTGGTGGTCTGTGCATGTCATAGCGACTGGTTGTTCGGTTGTTCCACTGTTTGGTCTATTTGCCTATTAGTCTTTTATTATATAGGATGTAATTAATATGTGGATCTGTGGGGGTTCTTGCTATACATATAGACTTCCCTGCCCTATAAATTTTAATTCCGTAAATGCATGTTTACTAAGTTCTCCCAGTGAGTCTGATGCACATTGTCCTTGGTCCATACTTTACCAAAATCAAGGATATGATCTGGCTGCAGAATAAGGCAAAGATCCATGCTTGCTGCTTCAGAAACTGAACTGAGAGGTTACAGATATCGTTTCTTTAACTCTGAGGTAGATCGCCTCACCTCTATCTTACATAGAAGGAAAGAGTCTATGAGAATTTCACAGCTTGCTCGAGGTAATAATCTGGAACTAATAGTCAAGACTCGGGAAGCAAACAAAAGCTTCTGGCTCAGTAATAATGTGTATCACTAAACATTAATTAGATACTTTGTATTGCCTATGTTTTACTTTCAAAAGTGCTTTTATTTTTGTTATAAAATAAATCAATATCAATTATAAAAATTGAAGGGGAAAAAGGTTAAAGAAAATGTTAAAGTCACCTATCAACCACAATCCAGAGATTGCTGTTGTTATTTTGTTAGAATTTTCTTGTGGCTTTTCTCTATAAATATATATGTTTTGATATATATGTCTTAAAGTTGTGAAGTTAATAGACTAGCATAGACTTGTCCATATATCATTAAAATATGTACAGTAAGTAAAGTATAAGTTTTAAAACCCTCTAAAATAACCAATGGCCAGTGGCTCCATTGGTTGGGTGACATCCTATGCACCAAAAAGGTTGCTGGTTCCACCTGCCCAGGTTGGGGCTCCATCCCCAGTGGGGGATGTGCAGGAGGTAGCCAAACAATGTTATGCTCTCACATTGATGTTTCTGTCTCCCTTTCCCTTCCTCTCTCTAAAAATCAGTAAAAACTTTTTAAAATAAAATAATGTAAGTTCAGTGACACAGAGGTATGATTGACTCATAGGTCTCATTGGCATGGAATCTCTGTGTGTCTTTGGGAAGCTTCGTCTCAGGGTTTATGTTGGTATTTTGCCAGGAATGGCTAGAGATGACTGTCTGCTGCATTTAAATGTGCCTGTCTTGCCGATGTGACCCTGAAGGAGTCAGGACCTCTGAGTCGTGTCCCTGAGGTGCGAGGTTTCATTATGCATGGCTGGGCATTTCTTTAAGTATGTTATTTGGTCACATCCAGTTGGAAAGTATACAGGTTTTTGTGTTGTTGTTTTTTCCTAAATCAAACCTCTGTGCAGGCTGAATTATATAATTCTCATGTTTAACTGAGAAAAAAATTTTGTACATAAATATATGATAATCAAGTCCATACTTTTTATTTGTAAAATGTTAAATGTTCTTAAGTATGAGTAATTATGACACTAGCAAAGTGTGGCATGGAGTGTTAGGGAAGAGAGGGAAGGAGAAGGATGAGAGGATGTAGACAGAGCACGGAATGGGGGTGGAGGAGGAAAAAGGGGTCTTGGTCTGCGTTTAGCTCCCTTTTATGAAAGCACCAAGTTGCTGTTCTCTGCCCTTGGGGGTAGCGTCACTGGGTAATGACACCGGGAGTATAAATAGCCCTGGCAGGCAGTGGTCTGGGTTCTCTTCCTGACCCTGACCAGCAGCTGGGCACTCCTGGCCTCTTTGTAGGTCTCTAATTAAGGACTTGGGCCCAGGCCATCCCCATTCAGCATTCCCAAGAGACTTGTGAGGTTCCACAGAAGGGGGAGTTTCTAAGAAGTCTGCAGATATTTGCAAATAGAAGTCCTGAGGGTGAGGAAGGATGGTTTAGTCAGGGAAAACAGTTCATGTGAATCCCAAAGGCCTCTCTTTAAAACATACCCTCGGGGAATAGTAGTTCTCCTTTCTGTAGACACAGTAGCACCCCACCCTTCAGGAGGTCTCAGTCTGTGCTTCTAGCCACCATGACCTACCCCTACCACAGGAAGAGCCCAGGAGGGAAGACACCCAAAGCCCAGCAGCCACTGTCTCCTGGGATGTAAGCATCATGACCTGTGCAGGGGGAAGGAGGCCAGTTTAGGGAGTAACCTGCAGGGCTGACTAGGGTTAGTGAGGAAGTGGACTGACCTAGGCCTCTACAGATTTTGACAATGTGTCACCCTCAAGATTGCACCACTGCGCCCAGGACTAGTGGGTGGCGATAGAGAAGGTCCTGAGTTTGGATGGAGGATGGACTGAAGTTGTGGATGAGGCAGATAAAGAGTAAGTTTCTGTAGGAATACACATTTGACCTACTTTTCACATCTGAATGATTTACAATTCATTTCAGCTCAATGTAAAAGTGCACATTCCAGACACTGTGCAAACTGCTAGTTTTGTTAATAAGAAATTGTGTCTGCATTATTTTCTCCAGGCTTCTACAATAAAAATACAAATTGACTGGCTTAAAAACAAACAAAAAACCAAAGTACATTGTTTCGTAGCTCTGGAGACGAGAGTCCAAAACCAAGGAGCCTGCAGTGCCAGGCCCCTCTGAACCCTGTGGGGGGAACCCTTCCTTGTTCCTCATCCTTGGGCCTTCCTAGGCTTATAGAGGCAGCACCTCAGTCTCTGCCTGTGGGGGGCTGTCACCTGCCTCATGGGACATAGTCACAGTGACCATCTCTTCCAGTGACAGTGTCTCTCTTCTCTTCTTGTAAGGATACTGGTCATATTGGCTTATGGCCCAATTTAATGTGTATAACTTCATCTTTATTTTATTGCATTTGCAAAGCTCTGGAGGTCAGGACTTTACATATATTTGGGGAAATAATTCAAGCCACAACAATGTCATTTCAGGAACAGTCTGCATCACAGGTATCACCGTAGAAACATCCAAACATGTAGAGAATTTTTCTGAGTTTATTTGAGTCAAGCTGATGACAATTGCTGGGAAGCAAAACCGCAATGGATTGTAAAAATGTTCCAGAGAAAATGGCAGTTTTGTACCTTATTTTATACAATGCAATTAAAAGAAAAAATGGAAGTAGGTTACATGAAATCCACTGGTGATAGATTAGGGAGGTGGGAGAAAG